TTACAATTTCTAAATATACAATTAAAAGTGTTAAATACATGAAACAAAATATAATAGCTCTGACTAAAAACAGCCATAACAGTAAAAACATGACAGGAACTTCACAGATATCCTAACTCCAAGCCAGAGAATAGAATCAGGCCTTAAGGGCTTTACAGAAGAACCATCTGTATCTATGGAAAGGTACTGTTCCAGAGACTACAGGTACAAAAAAAAAAAGGCAAACACTCTTAGTACTATGAGATATCAAGTGTTAATTGAGGGGACCTACAGAGCATCCATTTTGCCAGAACATTCCAGTCAGGCAGAAATGTTTAGAGCAGTGGTTCTCAACCTTTTTAATGCCATGACCCCCTAACGGTCATAAGTTGAGGACTACTCAACCGGTCGTAAGTCGAGGACTACTCAACTGGTGCAGCACCATTTGCAGAATGGGACTTTTGGCAGGCTCAGCAGGGCAGAGACAGCCTGGACAATTCCTATTGGCTTTTGAAAGCCAATAGAATTAGACTCTATTCAAGAGAGTCTATTCTATTGGCTTTCAAAAGCCAATAGAATAAAAGGGAATAGCATAGCTAAGGAAAAGGGGGAAAAATGGCAGACTGCATTGTTTGGCAACCCCCGTGAAATGGTTGTTTGACCCCAAATGGGGTCCCGACCCACAGGTTGAGAACCACTGGTTTAGAGATACTGTAAGCTTTCTCTCAAATAACCACCAGGTTCTATGTCATGAAAATTAATTCACATTTAACCACCAAACCAATAAAACCAATGTTTACAATTAAAACACAACCAAGCCCAATGACTTGGGACATACCTAGAGGAAAAAAGCCAAGACAAATATACTGTGTCACACGATAACATTGCAGGATCTAATTTGGGTCGGTCACCAGAACCAGAGATTTATTCTTCCAAGCTTTTGAACTCATGCTGGAACCCATCTTCAGGGAACTTCTCTTTAGCTGACAATATGTAAAAATGTATGTATGTACCTAATTTATAGAAAACTAGTATTACACTAGAAAATCACCAGAATAAGGTGAAATAAACAAGCCATAAAATTACTAGTAAAACACTATTAAAAGGCAATCAAACTTGCACAGATATAAAGGCAAGGAGGAAACATATTCCAAAGTTGCAAGGTCAGATCCTAGAGATGACCCTAGTATGAAGAAAAGAAAGAAATATTGAATCCTACAAATTTTGATAAAATGAAAAATAAAACAACATTTATTGTAAAACCCCAAGACTGTAAGTAGAAGGGCAATTTAGAAATTTGGAGGAAAAATAGGGATGAAAACACAACAAACGGTGGAAAGACAATCTTCATTTTCCCCATATTCAGCTTCAGATTATAAGGAATTTGTGATGAAACACTAATAAAACATGCTGACACAGTTAACTATACATTGTCATCAAAGATCACAAGAAACCAATAGATATTAATATTAGAATAGCAGTGGTATTAAAATAGTTAATCATGAATCATGATTCATGAATAATTAATCATTCACCAAAAAGATTACAAAAAGGTAAATAAATAGATCCCAGAATTAATTTTGTTTAGTATAGTGGAAAATTCCCAGAATATCAGGATTTTATATACTTGATCACCACATACTGCCATGTAGATTATAACTTTTGAGCATTCCTAGTTTGCAGGTTATTGATTAATCCACCATATCATTCTGCAAAATAATGGGAACAAAAAAAAATCTTGAATCTATAACCAGCACATCAAGAATACTCAAAAATTATAATCTACATAGCAGTATGTGCCAATCAAGTATATCAAATATTTCTGTCAGATCCAAAAGGATCAGTATTCTGGAACTTGAAGGATTGTAGGAAGGATGTGAATAGGATACTAGACATAAGCAATGAAGAGATAGAAGAACAGTCCATTGGCTGTTTAGCTTATAAATGAACACTCAGCCCAGATGGCAAGAAATTTGGTATGATACATTTTATATCATTCAAAGAGATTCATTCTTAATGAGCTCATTATAAATGAGAGCTGGAAATTCTTGCAGTTTCCAAGATATATGTAATGCCCTATAAGGCTAAACAGATTAAGGAAGCAAAAATTACATAGGCTTCAGCAACATATTTTTAATACTAGTCCTAGGATAAATTCAGATTTTTTCTAAAAAAAAATGAAAGACATAACAGATGCTTTGAAGATAGAATTATAAAGTTTGCAGAGATTTAACCTTAGGAAACATTTTCAGTTTTAAACATATTTTACACTCCCTTTTAAGATTTTTCTCCTCAAACTCATGCTACAGCATTCAGTTTCATTTATCCAAAGCAGCTATAAAAATCAAAACTGCAAAATTCAGGCTACAAACACAACCAATTATTAGCAGCAACTGAAATAAAACTCTAAGCTTAAAAGAGTCTTCAACAAGAGGTTGAAAAAAGGTCCAGACTCAAATAATTTGAACATGATAAATGAAAAAATAAAAGAACTATAACAAGGAAGATGCTATGAGGAAGATGCTATAAGGAAGGCTTCCTCATTACGGAAGAGATACTTTAGAGAAATCAGATTACCACTCTGAATGGTACTACATGCTTGCTTGATATGAATGGCATCCATTAAAGTACCCATTCTTCATTAGATGATGATGGTGATGATTATAATTATGAAGATCTGTTAGATTTCTATCTTGCCTTTGTTCCAGTATATCCAGGTGGCATCTACTTTCACTTTATTGTACGAACAGACTGATGATTGGACTGAGAAAAATTCCATCAGGCCAAAGAGCTTCAATTAGTTTCTTTGGAATAAGTGTTGGACTTCTAAGACCTAGTCCAACATATTAACCACTGGGTCTATATTAAGCATATTTAAACAACACATAAACATCTGAACTCTGTTTTTTACTGTACAATATACTAAATAAACACATTCCAGTAGAACAACTCAAACTGACATATGTGTCACAGGATTTAAATCTTTTGAAAACTGTTCTATCTGAAACATACAGATCTGAAGGACACATTGCAGTAACCAGGCCATTGTAAAAGTAAACAAAGAGGTAAGTCCTGCATCTGCAACTAAGTTCTCTTACAGCAATGGCTAATAAAAAGGGAAAAATCAATTGAAACAGATGTATCAGCCACATATTTCCATTGTAGGAAGAAATTATAGATTTAAGGCTTCTATCTCCATCAGCCCATTCACTGTGGGAAAAATACAATTTGCAGCCAAGGCAGCCTTCATGCTTCACTCCTCTTGTTATTTCTCAAATAAATGTATTTTGTGGATCAAAGCAATATACCTCCATCACAGCTTTTAACTCCAATAGCTCAGCATGCAGTTTGCACAATGATAAGTTTCGCTAGAAATTTAACAATTTTAGCCATTTATTGGATAATATCTTGAACTGCAGTAGCATGACACATGACCAATTAAACATTTTCACTGCAACAGGCATTGAAAGAGAAACTTGATATAACAACAAAAAGTTGAGTTTTAAAATCAATATTAACCTTGACCTTATGTTTGTCTTTGTCTACTTCTTAAAATTTGTGGCAGTGAAATGAAAAATAGTCCCTATGCTGAATCAGCACACTGTGCTTGTCCTGTGAGTAGAAGACTGCTTTGGATATTCTTGAAAGAGCATAGGCCATGCAAGTGGTATTCCATGCACATAGATCATCTTGCGTGAGTGATGGGCCACTATGCATGTGCATACATGAACAACTTAGAAGTTGAACTGTGCATGCATGTGCACATGTGCCAGCCTACCACTTGTGCAAGTCCACCACTTGCACGGCCTGGTTGCAAATAGGGATACTATCTGTTCATCTAGCTTGGAGCTTCAATTAACTTGAAGCTATAATGAGAGCCAGATTAAGACTTGGTCTATAGAGTGTCTTATCCTGGCCCACTATAAAATTGAGAAAACTCTTCTAGAAGCTTGCATAATACAAAATGAATTTTAAGATGCATAAAACCAAAGCAAGCAAGCCACAAGCAACCTTACTAGCAAAAATATTTTCAATTCTATGTAACTAATAAAAAGCATGAATAGCAATTAGTAGCATTAATCACATATAAGGGAAAATCATCAAGCTCCACACTGGCATAGAAGTAAGGATATTTATAGTCAAAGCAAAGGAAAAGGTCTTACCTCCTTTAAAAAAAGTAGATGTGTCTATCTTTAAATTGTGTGTTGTACAAGAGGCCATTCTGCAGATGTTGAACTTTGAATGAAATATATTCAAATTGTGGAATAGCTGGCAATTGACTACTCAACCTAGTTTTACTTTAGAAATTGCAGAATGGGAAGCTTTTGATATTTAATGATTTGGTCGGGAATGCTAGCACTGGTATATTAGAACTAGCAGGTAGAACAATCTCTACTACTAGGAATATTTTTTATAGTTGTAAGACAATTCATTTCTGTTATAAGGCTAGCACAAGTTAGAAGATTGTGTGAGGATGATCACTGTATGTTTGTATCATTTAGTAAAAAACAAATTCTATGAAATAATCAGTTAAAATACATAAAATAATAAGACTGTAAAGAAACAATATTTGTCAATGTCAGATATATTGTAAGATAAAGTCTCATTTATCCAGATAGATTCATTTTGAATAGAGCCATGCCATTTTCTTGGTAACAGAATGGAAGTCTTCTTCTGGGATGTTAGAATTAAAAAGAATAAAAATCATATAACAAGCTACATTGAGAACAGTGTCCTGCCCTAAGGGGATAGAAGCCTCCAAGTCACTGAGGTTACCTCAGGCTCCAGTAATAGTACTAGATCCAAAAGAACCTAGTCTATACTTCAGATCATTTTGGAGTACTGCAGCCTTTTTTAAAAAAACATGAATTTAAGTAACATTTAATTAAACAAACATAGCATTTGCATACAAATATAATTAGACAAATATAGCACTTGCATAATTTCCATTCCAGTAGCATTTTCCTCTCCCAGGCTTACAAAACTAGTTAAAGCCAACACATCAATAACAACAACATTACCTGCAGACGTCTTGATCTCAGAATGCAGAGAACAGCCTTTCTCTGACCTATTGATCATCAAAAGAGTTCATTTTCATTCAAATAATGCCATCTCCTCAAGCTATCAAAAATGTTCTCTTACCTCCATTTTACACAAAATGAAATTGGTAAATTGATAACAATTCTTCAATGTCATTTGGTGTGTAGTCAAGTTATTGCTATTAAAAATGTAACAAAAGCAAATGTCCAGAAATTTTCCAGTTTTCATACTTCTGTTGCACTTAAAGCTCTAGGAGGCTCTTAAAATTAAAATGATAGCATATAATCAATTTTGCATCAATGCATGTTTCCCCAATAGCATCTCTATTGTGATGTGTTGCAAGTTGTAAGAACTGCAGAACTGTAATGCTTTTAAAACACAGCATCCATTTTAAAAAGACAGCAGAATCAGAAATCTGCTGACTGTCTTTGGTCCATATCTACTCCATTACTATCTTATCTGATCAGCAAAAACTAGGCAGCAATGAGATACAAAAGTATACATTACTATCTACTGGTTATCTGGTTTTCAAGTTCTGAACTGGAATCTTCAGAGAAGTGCGGCGTGAGTGATGTTTGCACATGTGGCTAAGTTTTGAAGGAAATGGGGTGAAATAGTGAGGGACAACATACTTTAGGTGTGTTTAGCCCTCCTTTTTCCTTTCTCTTTCTTGTTCTCAGTTGTTGAAGCTGGTAGATAGAGTTCAGCACCTCTCTTCCTTTATCATTGGAGGACCCCATCTAAGAGCTTTGCCTTAATACCCGAAGAACTCTACGATCACACCATTTTCTTTTTTTCATATACGCATCTTATACCTTATTTAAAGTAAATTCTGTTAAGTTTTGTTTACTGAAAGGATTGCTTAGATACAAAGGATCTAAAAATCTAAAAATTCCAAACAACTGTTTTTGCCTTCATGAAGTAAAAGTCTGCTTTTTTAAAAAAATAATCAGTTGTAGAGAACATGATAGTTAAGAGCTAGTTCAATATAGTGGGCTAGAGACCAGGAGGCCATGTGTTCTAGTCCCATTTTAGGCACAAAAACTAGCTTGACTCCTGGGAAGAAGGCAATGACAAATCCCCTCTGAAATCTTGTGAAGAAAATTGCAAGAACTCTTTAGCAGGTAAATTAAAATATTATTGAGATTTTGCAGGGAAAAGAAATTGTGGAAATTATTCTCAAGAATTTGTGCCAGTAAATATGGTTAAGCGGAAAACAAAGGAATAACAGGAATAAATATTACCAGTTTTCTGACCCCTATCAGATGAACGTGAATTCTTTTTGAAAGCCTACTAATGTGACACTTGGTTATTTATAGCAAAATCAGCTGCAATAGAGTTGCCGTGATCAGTGCCTACAATAACAGTCTCATAAATCAAAACAGCAGCAAATCAGGCTATGTTCTGTTAATGAAGAGAATGACGTTTCTATAATATAGAATGTTAATTCAAAATCCATAACAAACTTACTTCACAAGCCACTATTACAGGAATAGAATCTGCAGATATATTTATTATGCAGGAAAAATGGGAAATGCAACTTATTTTTACAACAAAATCTGTTACTGAAAATCTGCTAGCTGATTATAGTTGTTGCTTCAGTATTATGTTCCTCATTAATCACAATCAGTATTATATATATTTAATAAAGGAAGATTTTAGAACACATTTGCCACAATCTTCATTAGCTGAAGCATAGCAATATAATCTGACTAGATATAAGTTTCTAATCAGGCATTAGAAAATATGTTATATGTTGATGTTATCATATGCCTAAATACAAAAAAATGTTTATATTCAACTTGGTATGTACTGAAAATATTAAGAATTATATTTGCTTAATGTAGACAAAAGGAGATTATTATTGGAAGAAGAAAGGATCAAGAAATATATTACCAACTAACATATTGATTAATTGGAGAAATTTATTGTTATTGATTGTTTTGAGTATATGAACCCAGACAACACACTATTCACGAAGCTGTAAAGATTGTAAAAAATTAATAAAATTGGTCATGTAAAAGTATAAAAGCTTTTTGGATTAAGATATGGTGGAATATTCAAAGAATTTTTAAAAGAAGGATAAAATTTACTCCACAATTGTTCTGATTGGGTATTGTTTTCGATTGTGATGATAAAGAGATTATTTTAATGTTAAATTTAATTACTGCGGCTAGGTTGTTAATAGGGCAATATTGGAAGAAGGAATCTTTGCCTACTTTGCAAGAATGGTTTTTTAAAGTTTCTTACTTAGCGGAAATGGCAAAAATTTCGGCTTTCTTGAAAGATCAATTGCAAGAGAAGTATCTCTTGGTGTGGAAAAAATGGATAAATTTTATACAATATAAGTATGATATAAGAAAATATTATTTAGCTTTTGAATAATTTATATTTAAAGTTTAAGGTATTATTTAGAAGTGTAATTATTATTATTTTTTTATCTTCTATTTTTTTTTCCTCTTTTTGTTTTTTATATATAATGGAGTTAAAGTATTTTACAATTTGTTTATTGAGTGTAATTATATTTGCTTAAGGTTTATTTGAGTTTAAAACTTTTTTTCTTTTAAGTTCTAGTTAAGCCTGTAATCAGCTCTGGGAAGAATGGGGGAGGGTTTTGGGGTGGGTTGGGAGGGATTGGGGAAGGGGCTTTTATTGTAAAATTTAAAAAAAAATTAATTAAAAAAAAATTAATAAAATATATTTTTTTAAAAAAAAATCTAATCAGGCAGACTGTCTTGTCTGCCATTCACCCATGATATGGATCACCAAATCCCATAGAAAAGAGTAGGATTCTTGGCTATTTTGCCAGACTCATAAACATAACACCAAATTCTCTTACCTGATTCCATACAACCAGCTAAGCTGAAGTAAAAGAAATTATCATAAAAGGAATGAAAGAAACCCCGAAAGATTTCATTTGGCTGAAACACTAATTCAAAATATTATTATCTAATTTATAAAAAATAAATATACATAGGCTATCATTTTTTCATCTGTAAGAGAGCTAAATTTGTGAAATTTGTGAACTTTATTGCAGAATAATACATTTGTCTTTCACAAATATAGTTAGTGATTTCTATGTGGAATTTTTTATTAAAAGTTTAAATAAGTTTATACATATTTTAAAAAATAAAAACAAAAACGTGTTAACATGCTGTTCTTTCTGTGTGATGTTTTTTCCTATATTCCTCCCATAGCAGACATATGAAATTAAAAAAATATGCAAGAAAATATTACATGCAAAAGTGTGTTTGATGTGGACATATAAAGAAATTTTGCAGTTAAAAGTATAAAAGAATTTAAAAATAGCCATTAATTATGAAAGTTGAATCAAAAATTTCTCACCAGGAATTTGCAGCACCTTTATAACATCAGTTCCTAATTATTAAAGCAACATAAAACCAGTTTTCATTACTGTCATATCAGTACAACAATGATTGCATAATGCTAACAGTATAAATCACTGGTGAAGAAATAACTAAGGAAACCTATATAAAATAAGCCTACAAAGGATATTTTTAGAAGATGTTCCAAGAATAGGATCCTTCCATAGAAATATTATATGTATATTCATATATTCTAAACAAACAACTTGGGCCAATGCAAATATATTAATTTTAACTGTGTACTTACCTACATGTTGTGAAGTAGTTCTCACCTAAAAAAGATTCCACAAATATAAATATGTGCAGTTAGATAAACTATGTTTACATATGCATGTTCTGTGAGAAAAAAAGGATATTAATACTGGATTATACGCAAAGATACCTGGTAGTAAATCCCAGTGAACTTAATGTGAATTACTTTTAAGTAAGCATCATAAGATGCATAGAAAAATTATACATTTTTATTGCACATTATAGAAGACACGAATGAAAACAAACTTATCAATATATGCAAAATTGACACTCTGGGAAAAGACTGATCCATCATATCTGCTGTTACTGAATTTAAATATGGAAAATGATATAACCTTCCTTTGTTTTGGTCAAAAACTACTAGTAGTTCCTATCTAATATATACAGCTTGAACATATACATAGAAGATTTGAGAGAGCAGTATAGGCAAAAATAAACTAAAAGTAATAGGGTTTTACTTTACATTGAATAAAACAATTCCAGTTCAAAATAAACATAATATTCTGATTTTTTCATCTTATCCAACATTTCATTTACTCTTTGCTCTTTTTCATTTTTGCTTACTTTCAATCCTGACAAAATATATTGATGACCTCTGAAGCTTGCAAACTTCTTATAATCTTGCTTAGTGTGGATCTAGTTTCATCCAAGAGTTCAAGAAGTCATGTTTTAATTTTCCCACCAAAAAGAATAACTGACTTCAGCAGTGCCACATCAGAACCACAAAAGCATCTCAGAAGCAAAATCATTGATAATAGAGCTTTCTGTTGAAAGTTAGATGGTGCAGTTCTCTAGTGGAATGACATTATTCATTCCCTTTAGAGAATAGCTTTCAGCCTAGAATTAGTATATGCAGTGTTATTCATTGTACATTTACCTCACCAGAGAATATTTTCTCCTGTCTACATATTCTATTCTGCTAGAGAATGATTTTTTTATAACTCATTGGAGAGTTCTATTTTATTTTTTAATGTTGCAGTCTTACTTTTAAAATATCCATATAATCTAGAAAAAGAGACATTTTAATGCAAAAGTATATTTCAGCTTCCCAAATAACATTTCTCCTTTCCCTGCAGAAATTGTTTTTATTGATTCTGAATCTCAGGGAGCTTAGTATTCATAAAAAGAGGCCAAACAGCTACCTGAGAAGACTAAAGTTCTTCACTTAAGTACATAACATATTTAGGGGAGGCAGGACAAAGTAATAATTGCCAATATTGTCCATTCTCCAAATACACCTCCACTATCTTTTCTTTTATAATCTGGTAAGAGGCAAAATCCTCGAAATACTGTTTTGACAATGAATATGATCTTCTTCAATAGCTTCAATCATCCCTGGAAAAATAAAAGGAAGATAGACAAGATTATGAATGTTTGTTTCTTATGAAAATAAAAGCCCCTGAACAATTTTAAGTGTATTGTGGTATACACATAATTCTCATTCAGGCAACCCTTTGGTGCATTCAGGGTTAGGATAAGCAACAGACTCATGTTGTCCCTCAAGGACTTTAATTAATCTTTTATGAAAAGCAAACCTCTGCAGCTCCTATCTGTTACAGAAGTACATCTACTGAGACCAAGAAAAAGGTTCTTCTTTGTGGTGGCTCCTTCCTTATGGAATATTCTACCCCAAAGATAAGAATCATCCTCACCTTGATACTTTTGCAGAAGGCCCTGAAGATGTGGTTGTGTTAGCCAGCATGAGGACCTCAGGTTGATGTGAAGCCGATCAAATGGTTAGTGGGATGGTGTATGTTACCACTGTGGACGGGTGGGAGAGTCTATGGGTTACTGTAATTTTTAGTTTTATTAGCTGTCCAGAGTCACCTTATGGGAGTTGAGTGGACATATAAATTTGTTTAATAAATAAAATGAATAAATAATGTCAGGAAAATGTGAGTTGTTATGTGTATGAAATATTCTTTCATTTGTTGGATGTGCCCAGAGGAAGAGTGAGACTATTCTTTACCCATTGTGTGAATTTATTAAATATGCAAGCTAAATTCTTCAGTGAAGCCACAGCCAAGATTTGTACTGATACTAATTATCCCAGAACAAAACATTCCTATACTACAAACTTTATAGTCAAACTAGATAAGATGTAGGTAACAAATCAACAGCACTTTCACTTAGTTTAGTGTTCACAGTCTTGACTATCACTGAGATGACTCAGGTCCAAGTCCATTTTCAGCCATAGAAACTTACAAATGACTTGGATCACTTATTCTTTCTTAACCCAAGCTACCTCACAGAGTGGTTGTGAGATATAACAAGTGAAGGAAATGCTGCCTATTCCACTTTCAACTCCAGAATGAACAGTATGATGCAAATATAAATATATAAATATTTTAATTATTCATTTACTTATAAAATTTATATAACTGCCCATCTTAAAACCAATTTTTGGCAACCTACAACTAATAAAACAATATAAAATCAACAATGCTAGAAATAGGGAAAACATTGCACAATAGCCATTCTTTTTTAATGTCCCCACTTTCTTTCCTATCCTGGTCTCATTCACTCTATCCCAATGCCTGGGATATATAAATTTGTATAGCAGGAGAAAGAGCATTTTGATTGTTCTGACTGGGACAATGGCAATAGTGAAGTACTCAACTCCCCCTCATCATCTTTCTAATGAGAACATTTTGCCAATAAAATTATTTCTTTAGTGGCAAAACATATCAATATTTTTAAGGCTGCATAACTTAGTTTTTAAGTAGAATGGCCAGGAGTGATAACAGGAAATTATCTATCTGGGAACTCCAAATTATAACTTATTCTCTTTCACAAAAACTTTCATATCAATTTTTATGATACACAAGTCAGTAGATACTTTTATCAAGTCAATTCTTCATGGCTTTTTTAAATGCTTCATGATGATATAGGCTTGAACCAAAACAGATTTAATATTAAATATAGCTTTGTGTACAGAATGGAAATAAAGAAAACCAAGGATACAATAATTAATGCTCAGATATAGGCAAAAATAATGATGAATGCCAATCATTATTTTTCAGCCTAGCATACCTTGTTTATGAGTTCCGATGATAAAATGAGGTAGAGGATGAAGCAGAGCTCCTGGAGGGAAGGCTGGATATAAATCTAAAAATAAATATCTGAACTGTCAAAATGTCACAGATGAAGAAGCAGTATTTAATAGTAAGCCTGAGTAACTTCTTCAGCAAAATGAAGCACCTTTCTGGATCCACATCATAAAGCTTGAAAGCAGATGCATGGACATTTTGGGTGGTTGCTCCGAGGCACTCCTGAGACCCTGCATGATAAGCAGAAGTCACTTTCACTCTAGACAGCTATGGCAGAAATGTGTTCCCAATGCATACAGATAAATGAATGTACAAAAACCTAAGCTTCAAAATAACCACACAAAACTTGAATGATAGATATGAAGTTTTCTCCCTCTTCATGGGGTGAAGCCACAGGGACAAAGCTTTCACATTCACAAAACTCTATGTAATAAGAAATTAAATGTAGGATTATTTCATCATAAGCTTAAGCTGAACCATGGTTCACTGAATTAATTCAATTGCCTGAATTCACACATCATTTTTACCTTAAATTAGTCAATTGAATTCACAAAACAAGGTAGCCAATTGAATTTTCATCCTAGTATGTTGTTCAGAACCACTCATAGTCACACATAAATCAAATTATTTTCATATTAACTACTTATAAATTAGTAAATACATACATAGGAAAGCACAGAAAAATAGTGCATTTTATTTTTATACATATTAATTAAAAAAATTCTGCTACAAGACTCTTAATAACGTATGAGGGAAGTTGTATTTGCTAGAAACTGGACTTACCCATGGTAATGGGGAGTAACATTTGTTTGTTATAAATCACATTTTGTATGTAGGTCAAAGCTGAATCCAACAGTATGTTACTTTGCTTCTTCAGTATTGCTGCTTCATAAATGAATGACATGGTGTAATACATAATTAAAGTCAGGGTCTTTCTACTATAGGATAGACTCAGACTTGAACTTGTTTTGTGTTCCATCAGATTTCAGTTTTGGTTGTTGTTGAGTCCTTGGCAGAAAGCAGACACGAGAAGCAGTTGAAGTTCTCAGTTTTCTTTATTCTGCGTTCAGCTTACAAGTAGATGGCTTCAGCAGCTCCCAAAACCTCCCAGCTTCTTATATAGACATTTCCCGGGTAAATGCGATACTTTTCCCGCACCAGCACCCGCGCATGCGCACGGCGCTGGCGACAGCCTGTCTGGTCCCGGGCAGCTTTGCACCTGCCCGGGACTGACTGCAAACGCCCGAGCCGTTTGCAAGGCTTGGGACATAACACCCCTTTCCCCCGGGCTAAAACTACTACCAACATATAATCATTTATTTTATGCAGTGTTCTGCTTCTCAGTGCTCCTATCGTTACCTGGCTGTTGTTTAGCCAGCAATGTTATGTAATCCTCTAAGTATTTAGGAGACTTCTTTGCTCTCTGTGACTTTCTCAGCTCTGGGTTACTAGCATGAGTTCCCTGACTGGAGGGAGATGTGAGCCTGTTCTCCTTATTTTGCCTTGGTGCCTTCCAAGGACTGTGCCCCGATGCCTGGCCTGCTTGCTTGCCCACCGTGCTCGTCAGGCCAGGGCTTCTGTCACTTTGTGACCTGGTTGACCTGCCTAGCTGTAGACCCTCGGGCCCCTTGAAGTGATAGCCCCTGCTGGGCGTCTCTGTTGAACCTCCTAGGTCCGTCCAAGACCTGTCAGGAGGCTGTCCATTCCCTGAACCCCGTTCTGTGTCCGGGCTTGTGTGGGTTTCTGTACTTTCTCAAAACTCAGTTACTCCCTGATTTGGGCTAGCGGTGTTGTAGTCGGGACTTGGTTCCTCGACCACCTCCCTGTATGTTTGACCCCCTGTAGGATTTGGGGTAAGGTCAGGCCAACCTTGGGGATTGTGTGCCAGCTCTCTTTCGGGGAATGATTTGTTGGGATGCCCCCGGGTATCCTCCGTGACTGGAGTGCTGTGTGATGTGTGTGGAAAGTGAGTATGCCCCCGGGTGACTCCCTGGCTGGAGTAGGCGTGGATGCCTGGTAGTTAGGTAGGCTCATAGAATTCTTGTTCGGAGCTCTCGCGGAACCCTGGGATGGGCCGTTTGTAGCTCCATCAGTGGAGATGGGCAGCAGCTCGTGCCCTTCCCTTTGCTCCAAAGGGTCCCCCTCCCTCCCTGGAAAAGACCCAGGAGTCTCATCTGAAAAGTCCCGCCTAGGGCGGAGTTGGTCGATGTGCCGACGCAGGACACGACCGTTGTCCAGGGCAACCTCGTAGGAGAGAGGACCTGTGACCCTGGAAATAGAAGCGGGGACCCAGGTATGACCAGGCCCGTAATTACGAGCCCAAACCGGGGCACCCACAAGTAGTTATCTAGGTGCCCTAGGATGTGAGGTAGATGAAGGCAGTCTGTCCGGATGCAACCGGTCAAGTTTAGTAGTAAGTTGACGCCCCCAACGAAGTTCAGCTGGGCTTCTCCCTGTAGAAGTGGACGGTGTGGTGCGATAAGAAAGGAGAAAGTCAGCCAACCTGTGATGCCAGTCCCCGTAGGTGAGTCTTTTCAATGCGTCCTTTGTGATGCGCACCATACATTCAGCCATACCGTTGGTGGACGGGTGGAAGGGTGCAGACGTGGCATGACGAATCATGTTTGCCTGTAAGAAAGCTTGGAATTCGGAGGAAGTGAATTGAGGGCCGTTGTCGGACACAATGAAATCTGGCAGCCCGTGTGCAGCAAAAATCCCCCTCAGTACCTGAATAGTCTTTGCAGTGGTGGTGGATGAGACAGGTACAACCTCAAGCCATTTCGAATGGCTGTCAACAAGGACCAAGAAGAACTGGCCCTGAAAGGGTCCAGCGTAGTCAGTGTGCACCCTAGACCATGGGGACTGTGTTTCCTCCCATCTATGCACGGGAGCTTGGGGCATCTCTGGACGAGATCGTTGGCACAGGTGGCATGCATGCACCTTAGCCTCAATATCTTTATCTAAACCAGGCCACCACAAGTGGCTGCGCGCAAGAGCCTTCATACGAACAATGCCAGGATGACTCTCGTGGAGGGATTCTAAGACCCTAGTCCTCATTGAGGTGGGAATGACAACTCTGTTTCCCCAAAGCAGACAACCCTGAGAAAGGGACAGCTCGTTCCTTTTGGACCAGAAACTCTGAAACTCAGGACTAGGGCAGTGCTCAGGCCAACCAGACAAAACCCAGGAACGGACACGTGAAAGTGTGTGATCTGTACCTGTTTCAGCGGCAACATCCCTGGCACTAAGAGGGAGCTCGGGCAAGGCTTGGATTGATAGAATGTTGACAGCTGGCGCAGGGTCAGCTTCTACTACTGGCAGAGGCAATCTACTGAGGCCATCAGCATGGCCCATTTCTTTTCCAGGCTTGTGGAGTAAAGAAAAATCATATGCAGACAAAAAATAGACCACCTAAGCATTCTAGGGGAAATGATTTGGGGAGTCTGCTTACGTGTGGTAAACAGTCCCAGCAGAGGCTTATGGTCAGTGAAGACCGTGAAGTGCCTGCCATATAGAAAGTCATGGAATTTTTTAATTCCAGCAACAACAGCCAGAGCCTCCCTGTCTATCTGAGCGTAGTTGCGCTCAGCAGAAGACAATGTTCTGGAGTAATATGCAACAGGAACCTGAGTTCCATCAGACCTGAGGTGGCTCAGGACAGCTCCAACCCCGTAAGGGGACGCATCACAAGCGATGCACACAGGAAGGGACTCGTTGAAATGTGCAAGTATACTGTTAGAAGTGAGCAAGGCCTTGACTTTGTTAAAGCAGGCCTCATGCGTCTGTGACCACCACCACACTGCTTGCTTGTCTAGTAGCCTGTGAAGGGGCTCAGCTATGTGGAAGAAAAGAATTGTAGAAATTCAGGAGGCCCAGGAAGGCCTGAAGTTCGGCCTTGGACTTTGGCCTAGGTGCTTCTAAAATAGCAGTCAGTTTGGATTCAGCAGGGTGAATCCCAGCAGCATCAATTTTGAACCCCAGAAATTCAGTAGAAGGCACCCCAATCTTGCATTTGTCTTTTTTGAGCTTGAGGCCTGATTTCCTGAATCTTAACAGAACAGCCCTTAGCCTTTCAGCTAGAATGTGTGTGGAGTCTCCTGCAATTAAGACATCATCAAAGTAGGGGCAAACCCCCGGTATGCCCCGCAGTGTGTTTTCCATTACGCTTTGGAAAATCCCAGGAGCGACATTCACTCCAAACTGCAGCCTTTTTACCTTAAAGGCTCCCCTGTGGGTCACAATAGTCTGAGCTATAGCAGCATCATCATCAACAGGCAGCTGTTGATACGCTTGAGCTAGGTCAAGCTTTGCAAAAACGCGCCCCCCCTTGAGGGAGGCCAGAATATGACTGACCACAGGAACAGGATAGGCATGTTGCTGCAATGCCTTATTCAGAGTGCATTTGTAGTCAGCACAAATGCGAATGTCCCCATTTGCCTTTAGAGGCGTGACAATGGGGGTCTCCCAAGGACTGGAATCAACAGGTTCTAGGATTCCCTGTTGAATCAGTTTGTCTAACTCAGTGTCAATTTTACTCTTTAAAGCAAAAGGGACCCTTCTTGCTTTAATTCTAATGGGAGTGACAGTGGGGTCTAGCTTTAAGGACACAGGGGTCCTTTGAATGTGCCCAGCTGGGGGCTGAAAACATCTGCAAATTCTTTGCAGACTTCCTGTAGGTCGAGTGTTTGTAAGCTGTTGAGTCCTGTGACGTGTATCCCCAGGGCCTCAAACCAATCGAGTCCTATGAGACTCGTTCGTTCACCCCCTACTACTAATAAGTCTAGTGGACCTTCAAAACTCTTGTATTGCACGTTAAGGGTGGCCTCCCCCTTAACACACACTCTTGAATTTTGAAAATCTGTTAACACAATGTCAGAAGGCCTTAACTTGGCCTGAGTTCCACTACCGGAACAAATCTTCCTAAATGTATGCAAGGAGATAATTGAAAAGGCAGACCCTGTGTCTAGTTCCATAGATAATGGAACCCCTTGTAGCTTCACCTTGAGTGACAGCTTTTTCTTAATTGGCTTGTGTGTGCCTGTCCTAAGGATGCTTCTTCGCGAAGCACAAAACCCTACCCTATTCTGGCTGGGGAATCTGGTACCTTTCAGGCGCAGTTCTTCCTGAGGTTGTACCTTTCGTCGGCCCAGACACACAGCTGCAATGTGTCCTTGTTTGCCGCATGCCCGGCAGGTAGCGGAGCGGAACTTGCAGTCGGTTCTCCTGTGGC